ATCCATCTTCTATCCGCCTCCCCCTCTCTCCCTATTTATTTCAGAACCCCCTTCCCCTCCCCCATTTCTGATGAAGGGTCTAGGCCCGAAACGTCAGCCTTTCTGCTCCTATGATGCTGCTTGGTCTGCTGTGTTCATCCAACTCTGCACCTTGTTGTCTTTGCAAGAGACAAGGTTGCTACAAACACTCATTAAAAGCCGGATACATAACTGAGGAAAGCAGTGATGATGGATTATTCAGGTAAAACCCCAAACCTGATGGAAGTGCAATACTGTCAGTCAGTTAGACCACAGCAACTACCAGCATACCTAAAGCTTCGATAACATCTTTGACATCTGTCAGCAAATAATCCAGGTTATAGTCACTTCGACTAGGCGGTGCATCAGAATGCCCATAACCACGCAAATCCATTGCCACCACTCGATACTCACTCTTGAACTCCCGTAGCTGGTAACGCCAAGAGTACCTGAGACACAAATAACATTTGATTAACTGGCAACCCATTCAGCTGATGGGCTATGCTACACAGTTAAGTCAGCACAGGGCAGTTATTGCACTCTGTGACAACAAACTTGCAGCCAAAAACAAAAATACATTGAACAACAAACTGATGCTATTCATCTCTGAATTAACTAGTCATTTACCTCCACCAGAGCCTATACTATCTCAAACCTGAAGTCTGTGGTTCCTTGGTGCTTGACAAGTGGCTGTTAAAAAAGAAAACAAAAACCTCACTGCTATAGCATCTTTTGCAACCCTGGAATGTCCTGAAATGCTTTACAGCCATGGAAATGACACAGCAAATTTGTATGTAGTAAGGTCTGATAAACAGCAATGTGATAAGGAGCAGATAATATAGTGATGTTGGTAGAGAGATATATATTGGTCCAGGACACTAGGGAGAACATAGCTGCTCTGCTTCCATATAGTCATTATCATATCTTTTACACCCAATTAAGAGAGGTACTTGGAGCTAACATTTAACTTTTCTCTCTAGTAGTAATAAAACAAATTGGAGAAACCTCCATCCACTGAGAACTTAAATTTCTACAAATTTTGCAACTGTCGCAACTTAACTAGGAAAATTGCAGTGCACCAATAATCATACTCTCCAGTTTCACAAGCCATCACAAAATGTATAAGATCCAAATAAGACCACCAAAATAAACATTTTGGCCTACTGTCTGCTACTCAGAACATAAACAATTCGCACTAGATTCCTTCAGTAACAAAAACGAAATACGCAATGTAACACACAATTTTAACAAGGATAGTGAAAAGGATTTCTAATTGATGCAACTTAAATGATATCCTTTCAAAACCCTAACTATGCACACACTGACTCACAAGACAGAGAAAAGATAACTGTTTTACACATATACAATGGGTTAAAAAAGAATATGCAGGATAAACAAAAGTCTTCCAACAAATATTAAATATTAAATGTCTTTCTAATAATTTGCATCATTCAACTCACTCTTACGTTTGTTCTCCGAAATTGTTGGGCTTCTCATCAACTGAGGTCAAGGTTCAGACTATTTTTTAATTAATTCATAGGATGTGGGTGTTGATGGTTGGGCCAGCATTTAATACCATTCCTGAGTTGCCCTTGAGAAGGTGATGGCACGTTGCCTTCTTGAACTGTTGCAGTCCATTTGTTAGACCCACAACGCTGTTACGTGTGGAGTTCCTGGATTTTGACTCAGCAACATTGAAAAAACGGTGATGTATTTTCATGTCAGAATGGTGGGTGGTTTGTAGGTGTTTCCATGTATTTGCTGCCCTTGTCCTTTTAGATGGAAATGGTAATGAGTTTGGAATGTGCTGTCTAAGCAGCCTTGGTGAATTCCTACATCTCTAATGTTATAAACACTCCTGATATTATTTGGAAACTTGACTTCTAATGTGGATAGAATCATGTATAGCTTTACGATTGATTTGTATTTCTATACTGTGTAGGTTAAGAAGTTTTGTGTGCTTACTTTCATTTTTGAGTTTGGTATGGGTTCCAGTGCATCTGAAAGTTTATTCACAAGCACTTAAATGAAGCTTTTAAGAAAATCCTTGAGGTGAAAAGTTTAGTACTTTAGGAAATTAAAGGTAGAAGAGAAAAGAAGAGCTGTTGTCTAGCGACAAAATGTCCTGTACCACAGGGTCACAGAGAGAGAAAGCTTCCTTTTAGAAGGAGAAAGCTATCTAAAAGGTTAGGCAGGTTTCAGTCAGGAAGAACAGGTCTATGACAGCCAAGATTAATTTGAGCTGAAAGGAAGTCCTGAGTGGTTTAATATCATCATACAAAACCTCCAGAAACAGAAAGCTGTGGAAAAGAAACTCATGTTTGAGCGAGCTGTGTTAGCAGTTTAAGGGTCTCATGAAGATATATAACTAAAGAAGTTAGCATTGAGTGAATGCAGATACTTACCGGAAAGAAACCAAGTACAGTGCGCTAACTAAAGAAGGAACTTAATGTGAAAACTGAGATTTGAGTATCTGTAAGGTTGCTGTTGAGGTAAAAGGGTTAAATCTTTATTTTTGGTGCTTGTGATGAGACTGTTTCAACTAGTTCTTCTATTGTGTAAAGTATTTTTCCTTTTGTGTCTAAAAACTTTGATGTTCTTTTGTTAAGAGATTATTGGCAGCCTGTTGTGAGTATGTTCAGTGATTGCATGAATATGGGTCCAGGGCAGGAGGAGATAGAAAGACTTGCATGTATGTAGCACCCTTCACAATCTCAGAATATCCTAAAGCACTTTGCAGGCAAGTACTTTTGAAGGGCAGTTGCTATTCTAGGAAACAAAACAGATACAGACTTCCCACAAATTGCAAGGTGACAAGGATCTGATAAAAAGCTATGTGTTGTTGGTTGAGGGTTAAATATTAGCCGGCTCCCTCATGAATAATGCTATGGGATTTTTTACATTCACCAAACGGGAGAAACAAATTGTTAAACAGAAAATTGAAGGGAATCTTTACCAAAACTCAGGAAAGCCATGGAGTAGCAACATCAGTTGCTTGTTCCTCTCCCCAGCTGCCACATAATGAAACTGCAGCCCTGAATCCTAGAGAAAGAGAGAAAAAGGCAGGGAAAGACACAGTAAGAACACAGCTCATGGACTCTCTCAGGATGCAGCTTTCAATACAGAACCACTGCAAATGTTTTCAAAAAGAAAGACTGACTTTTGTGACCATTCAAATTATCTCGCAAAGTAAATGAGATTATACCCATAACAAAAAGTTAAAAATAGATTTCAATTGTATCATGAATGACACCTTCTGCTCTCTCTCAGGTGAATGGGAAAGATTAAAAACCAAAAGACCTGCAGATGCTGTAAATCAGAAACAAAGACAGAAGTTGCTGGAAAAGCTCAGCAGATCTGGCAGCATCTGTGAAGAGAAATCAGAGATAACATTTCAGGTCCGGGCAGTTCTGAGGAGGGGTCACCGGACCTGAAACGTTAACTCTGATTTCTCTTCACAGATGCTGCCAAACCTGCTGAGCTTTTCCAGCAACTTCTGTTTTTGTTGTTGAATGGGAAAGATTCCTTGTCATTATTTTGAAAGTGAGAGCAGGAGTTCTGCCTATTGACTTGGCTAATATTTATCCCTTGACCCACATAATCTAAACAAGCTTATATGGTCATTTGGCCTGTTGCTGCTTCCAGACAGTTTGCTCTGCACAGATTGGCTGCCATATTTCCTACAATACACTAGCACCAAACTAACTGCGAAATACTCTGGGATGTCTGGAGCCCTATGGAAATGCAAACTCTTTATTTCTTTCAAGATTATTCAATAATTAAGAAAGTGTCACATATTATCAGGGACTGCAGAATAAATAGTGTGAGGTCATGCATTTTGATAAAATAAATTAAGGCAAAGTTTATACTCTGGGAATGGTATTCGCACTGACAAAAAGCAGCGGGATTTGGAGATACAAGTTCCCTGTTAAATTAGCCACAGCCTACTAAGGATCATAGCCATCTCTCTCACACAGAAAGAGGTAACTGATTATGAAACTTGAGGGACATCACTCTAACGAGTGCAGGACAAGGTGCGGGACTATCATAGCCATACAGGAATTGAACTCACACAGTTGATGCTACTCCGCTCCACATTTTAGCCAACTAAGCTAGTACAAGCCCACATTTAAAAAGCTAATAATAAGCTTCAAAACTTTACAGAATCATAGAATTCCTATAGTGCAGACAGAGGCCATTCAATCCATCGAGCCTGCACTGACCCTCTGAAGAGCATCCCACGAAAAGCCCCTTATCCCTGTAATCCTACATTTACCATTGGTAATCCACTTAACCTATACATCCCTGGACACTACGGACGATTTAACACGGCCAATCCACCTAGCCTGCACATCTTTGGAATGTGGAAGGAAACCAGAGTGCCCAGCAGAAACACACACAGACATGGGGAGAACATGCAAACTCCACACAATTGCTCGAGGCTGCAAGCGAATCCGGGTCCCTAGGGCTGTTAGGCAGCACTGCTAACCACTGTGCCACTATGAGCCCTCGAGAGGCACAGAATATGAAGATAACTATGTAACATTGAACGTAAATGATTCTCTAGGAAGATCTCAGAGTTCTGTGCACAGTGTTGCGCACCACACTGCAGGAAATATGCTGTGCTTTAAACAGGGTTCAGTGCAGATCCACTACCATCACAGGTCACAACCTGAAACCCTATTTTTCTCCCGCCACAGGTGATGCATGCCCACTTAAGTATTTCCAGCATTTTCTGTTTTTATTCCATTAGGATGTCGTCTTGCATGAGGAAATCCAAAAATAACTTAATAAATTGGCTCTTTTAACGTTAGAACATCAATAATATGCATTCACATAGTAACTTTGACATAGTAATTCCTCCGAGGGGGCTTCACTGGAGCATTATCAACCCAAGTTTGACCCATGCTTCATAAAAAGATATTAGGACAGATGACGAATAGCTTGATCAAAGAGGTAAATTTTGAGGAATGTCTTAAAGGACAGGAGAGAGGTAGTGGAGCAAAGAGATTTACTGTGGTGGGAATTCCAGAACTTAGAGTTATGATGGTTGTAGAAACCTTTAATTTTTAATAAAAAGATTCTAACTTGCAGTTACTAGATGAAAGATACTGCAAGATTTTACATTTTAATACTTTTACTGCAACAAATGATTAAGTGCACTATTGACTAAATACTATTGCCTGTTTTGTTCAGTAGTAACTCCAAGGAAGCATCTCCCAATGTTTTCCTTGACCTGACTGCACTGTACATGTAATACATCATGGTGTTTGCAGCAACTGCAGCAAATCAAGGTGGCTCACTTCTCAAGGGCAATTAAGAATGTGTACTAAATGTTGGCCTTGTTACCCAAGTCATGTAACTAAATTAGAAAATAAAAATTCACAACAGAATTAGCTATGTAATTCAAAAGTGAATTAAAAATTAGACCTATAGGGAAAAGAGTAAGGGCAATGGAATGGGGAGGATAGGTTAGCACTTTAAAAGGGTTTAGGTCATTCTTTAAAACACTTTAGCTAGCATGAATGGTTTCTCTGAACTGACCTGATTCCAATGCTATGAGAAACTGTACGGCTTTCTGAACTGAATTCTGTTCTTCTGAACTAAAAGCTTGAATCCTCCGTTCTGAAGTCAAAACTAAACTCAGTGGCTTTTTGGTCTGTTTACAATGCTGTCATAAACTCAGTAGTATAGCCATTTTATCCATGAATCCTACAGAATTCCTCCCTGGCACCCAAATGTAATCACAGGCTTTCTCGAAACTGATGAACTTAGGTTACTGAACCAAATATATTTCTGAACTGTTTTTAAAAAATGCCATTCACAGAAATGACCCATCTTTAATCACATAGTCTATTAATCAATCACCATTAATTGTGGAGTGCAAATGAATAGAGTGAAGCGTGGAATTTGGTGAAGGAGAGAGCCTTAACAGTTATAGTTTTTTTGAAAAACCAAATTTCTTCAGGCTTAGGCAAGGATAAATAAGCTCTCTTTTGAACAGTGGCTGGTATTAGTGAAGTACATGGCTACATTAATCTGGTTTGTATTCTATCAGAATTGACTTTTGCAGTGAGTATAGTACAGGGTCTGAGAGCTCTTGTGGTATAGTGGTAGTCTGTGTCAGGAGATCTGGGTTCAAGCCTCACCTGTGCAAATCTGTGTCATAAGATGTCAGAACAGATTGAGTTAAAATAATCAAGAGAAAAGTCTGATTGCAACTTGCACAGAGTGCAGCTGAACAGACTGAAGTTGTAAGTTTTGTGAGAGAGTTAGAGGAAGGTGGCTTTCCTTACCCAGCTTCCAGCATTTGCATCTTACAGTATTTTAATATGGGGAAGAAGATGATTGGTGAGGAACTGCTAAGTTATTCTGTATAGTTTGTAAATTTAATATATGGCAGGGCAGCTTGCTCGAATGAAATATGCCACCTCTGATATGTGGGAAGTCCTGAACGTAACAATGTTATTCTTGACAAACACATATAGGAAGTGTCTCCCATTAAAGAAGATTCAGCTCCAGGTTTTCGAATTCAAAGGGCTGTTGGAGTCACTCTAGTGCTAATGTGAGGCAGAGAATTTAATGAATAGCATGTTTCAAGTGGTGCCCACACCACATTATAGGAGTGTGGAGGCAAACAGGGCATGGGTGATCACCACACAATCTAAGATAGCCTGGCAGGTCATGTAGGAGACCCCACCCAACCACAACCCCCCTCCACCCAATCTCATTTGCTAAATGGTTTTCCGTTTTGGATACTGACAAGGATGATAGTTCCTCAAAGGAGTTGCAACTACAACACCAGTGGCTCGGTGGACAGGAGGGGAGAAAGAAGTGTGTAGATGATTTAATCATTTGGGGAACAGACTTTTCCATGGCTCATTCTCCTAGCACCACAGTCATAAAGTTCGTGCGGCATGGCGGCACAGTGGTTAGCACTCACAGCGCCAGGGACCCAGGTTCGATTCCAGCCTCAGGCGACCGTCTGTGTGGAGTTTGCACTTTCTCCCCACGTCGTCGTGGGTTTCCTCCCACAGTCCGAAGATGTGCAGGTTAGGTGGATTGGTCATAGTAAATTTCCCATAGTGGCCACGGATTTTCAGGCTACGTGCGTTAGCCATGGAAAGAGCAGGGTTATAAGGACAGGGTAGGGGTCTGGGTGGGATTCCCTTCAGAGGGTTGGTGTGGACTCGATGGGCCAAATTGCCTGCTTCCACACTGTCGAGATTCTATGATGATTCATATTTATTCTTTTGTGGAGGATGAACAGCCAAAGGCTGTGGTCCACATTAGTGCCAATGATGTAGGTAAGAAGACAGATGAAGTTCTGAAAGCAGATTTAATGGACTTGGGAAACAAATTGTAAAGTAGAATTTCAGTATACTGAAAATATCAATGGGAAGATTGAGCAATTGAACACATCTGAAAAATCGATATAGGAGGGAGAAAATCAGAGTTATAAGGTATTGGGAGAGGTTTTGGAGGTAATGAGACCGGTGCAAGATGGACAGGTTGCACCTTAGCAAAACCGGAACTATCATCTATACAGGGAGATTTGCTAGGGCAGTTACGAAGTTGTTAACTAAATTGGCAGGTAGATGGGAACCTAAGAGTGAGTTCAGATTGGAGGGAAGCAAAACTAATAACAAGTAGCAGAGAAGTTGTCAGGGAAATTGGAAGGCGGACAAAACAAGGCAAATATGAAATAGGATCAGAAGGCAGAACAATGTTAAAAAGATAAAGTTAAGGGCACTCTATCTGAATGCACATAGCAGTCACAAAAAGATAGAAGATTTTAGGACAGAAATAATTGTAAATGAGTATGATTTAATTGCCATTGCAGAGACGTGGTTACAGCTTTACCAGGACTGGAACTGAATATTCAGGGAGATTCATCATTTAAAAGGATAGGTGAAGGGGAAAATGAGGTGGAGTAGACCTATTAATAAGAGTCGAGAAAAGTACATTCGTGAGAGGGGACCTTAGATGAAAGAGTCAAGGTGAAGAAATTATTTCAGTCAATCTAAGAAACAAGGTCAGAAAATATTGTTGGAAGTTGATATACGCCACCAAACTGTTGTAATACTGGATATTGTATAAATAAAAAAATTTACTCAGGCATTATTGTAATAATGGGCAACTTCAATTTACATATATACAGTACTAGATAATACTAATTAGAATTAATGCTGTGGGGCTTAAGATCCTGGATTGTGTACAAGATGGATTTCTGGAGCAGAACATTATAGAATTGAGTTCATTTCTCAGTATAATTTTATTCATTCATGGGAGCTATGTGTCAGCATTTATTGCCCATCCCTAGCTGTCCTTGATAAGGTGATGTTACGCAGGTGATTATAAAGTCAGTCAGCACAGAAACAGAGCCTTCGGTCCAACTCATCCACAACAACCAGACAACCCCATCTGACCCGGTCCCATTTGCCAGGAATTGGCCCATATCCTTCTAAAACCTTCCTATTCACGTACCCATCCAGATGCCTTTTAAATATTGTAATGGTATCCAGCTCTACCATTTCCTCTGGCAACTCATTCCATACACACACCACCCTCTATGTGAAAATATTACCCCTCAGGTCTTTTTTAAATCTTTCTCCTTTCATCTTAAACCTCCGTCCTCCAGTTTTGGACTCCCTCACCCTAGGAAAAAGACCTTGGCTATTCATCCTATCCAAGACCCTCATGATTTTATAAATCTCTATAAGGTCACGTTTCAGTGTCTGACACTCCAGGAAAAAAGCCCCAGTCTACTCAGCCTCTCCCACTAGCTCAAACCTTCCAGTTCTGGCAACATCCTTGCAAATCTTTTCTGCATTCTCTCATGTTTAACAACATCCTTACCTTGGGACGGTGACCAGAGTTATACACAAAAGTAGCCTTCATTGGTCAATGTTCTAACCAATGAAGGCAAGTGTGTCAAATGCCTTCTTCACCACCCTGTCTACCTGTGACTCCACTTACAAAGAACTATGCACCTGCACCCCTAGGTCTCTTTGTTTGGCAACACTCCCCAGGGCTCTACCATTAAGTGTAGAAGTCCTGCCCTGATTTGCCTTACCAAAATGCAACACCTCATATTTACCTGAATTAATTTTCATCTGCCACTCCTCAGTCCATTGGCTCATCTGATCAAGGTCCCATTGTGCTGTGTGATAATCTTCTTCACTGTCCACTACACCACCTATTTTGGTGTCATCTCAAACTTACTAACCATACCAGCTATGTTCACATCGAAATCATTTATACAAATGACAAAAAGCAGTGGGCCCAGCACCGATCCTTCACCATTCGTCACATGCCTCCAATTCAAATAAAATACCCTCCATACAACCCGGTCTCCTACCTTCAAGCCAATTTTGAATCCAATTGGATATTTCCCCCGGATCCCATATTGACTATCTGCAATCAGTCCTTACCTTTCCAAATGATGTAGACAATTAGCTGTAGTTTGGTTCTGTGTGGGATTACAGGGGGCATGAGGAAAAACGCTTTCTACTGAGGTGATGTGTCTGAAGTTCATTGCCCAGTTTGATGATACAGGCATTACCTTGAACTAGCTTAAAAGGTAGCTGGATGTGCACCTGAAGTGTTACAATATGCAAGGCCATGGTCCAGATGTTGGGAGGTGTGATTAGAATTCTTTGGGACTTAGGCACATTGTCGTTCCAACTGGCACAGTTACACTTGGTTGAATGGCTTATTTCTGTGTCATAACATTGGTATGGCCTGAAGCTTGAAAAGTACCACAATGCCTCAGTGAAAACTGTGAGGGAGCAAAGGTGGAGTTGATAAGGGGAGGGGAGCCATTGCTATCTCAGGTTTCAGGTCGCCAACTCTTGCTTGGAAAACTTGGGTCTGGGAAGTGGTGGGTGGTGTAGGGAAGAGATGAAACACAGTCGTGGAGAAGGGATGAGATCATAAAAGATAGTAAAAGAAGCAGGCCTTTCAGCCCTCAAGCCTGCACAGTCATTCAATAGGATCGTGGTTGGATGTGACAGTCAAACTTCCTGCGTAACCCTTCCTTCCCCGACTGTTCAAGAACCTATCTCAATCTTAATAGTTGCGGTGGGGAGGGGGGCAACTCAAATAACTGAGCACATGGAAGGCAAGAGATAGAGCTGATGTGTGGCTATTAAATTACTTGGAATAATAACACAATGGGGACAAACGGAAAAACCAGCCGTCATCGTTTGAATAGCAGGGCAGTCTCAATGGACCGAGCGGCCTGCCCCCGTTTCCCAGGTCAGTGGCAGACAGCAGCCAGGGATCAGTGCGCGTGCGTGGTATTCGGGAACTACAGGTCCCAGAAGGCAAAGCCGATAGTACGCACACGCAGATAGTCCAGGGATGGGCAGGTATTTAACAGAAACGGTTTTCAAAAGCGGCACGTGAACCAACGGCCTCCGCGGCCGCGCACGATACCTTCACTCGGACGAAGCAGTGAGACCCCAGAGACGGATCGCTGAGGCAGGCCGGCGGAGTCTCCCGGCACCGCCATTTGAAGGCCCGCCCTCGCCTCCTGATGACCACCCAGGCCATACGCAGAAGGAATAAGCCGCCGGCCAGGGCCGTCAGCGTGTAGACCGTAGCCCAGTAGGTGGCGGCGAGGACAGCCAGCGCCACACGGCTGGGCAGCACCAGCAAACGCGAGCCCAGCTTCGCCATCTTGGGCGTGGCACTGCCTCTGCGCCTGCCCATTAGGTTGTCTCTGGTGATTGACAAGTGCGATGACCAGTCAGCGCCGGGCGCGTGCCGTGCAGGTGCTGGAGTGCGTGCTCGAGCCTTTGGCCAGAAGGGGGGCGTGGCCGAAGGGGCAGTCAGTGAAGGAAGAACGTAGACTTGGGCAAGCAGGCGTGGAATGAAAGGTATCAGAGATAGTAGGAACTGCAGATGCTGGAAAATCTGAGACAACAAGGTGCAGAGCTGGATGAACACAGCAGGCCAAGCAGCAGCATAGGAGCAAAAGGTGTGTTTTTTTTTTAAGTTTGACGGGGAGGGGGTAGTGATTATGAGACTGAGGCATTCATAAGGGAAATCTGGAACTAATGGAGTGCCACAGGGATCAGAAACAACAAAAAAAAACAGAAGTTACAGGAAAAGCTCGGCAGGTGTGGCAGCATCTGTGGAGAGAAATCAGTTAACGTTTCAGATCGAATGACCCACAGGGGTTAGTGCTATGACCACAATTATTTACTGGATCTTCATGGCTCAGATGTAAAGGTGGTGATAGTGAACCAGGGTGGACAAAGGTCAGAAGTCACATGACAGCAGGTTATAGTCTTAAGAGGTTTATTTTGAAAGCACAAGCTTTCATAGCACTGCTCCTTGGGCAGGTGACCTTCTGACATGGGTAAGGAAGGCAAATGTAAGATAACAAGAACAGAGATTGCTGGTGAAACTCGAAAGCATATCTAGCAGAAGAGAGCAAAGTTCACTATTGGTGACTCTCCAGTAGAACTGTTAACAGTTAAAAAGAAGTGGTCTTTATGCTGAAGCCACCACAGCAAGGTCAATAACTTCAAAGCCTGATTCCACCCTTCCATGTTTTTCACCCAGTCCGGTTACGTCAATGGGTTGCTATTAGCACAGGTAACCATTCTAACCTTGATCCTATTATCATATTATCCACGCCGCTTTCAATACAAGTCATCCATTCTCGCCTACTTTAAACTCTTATTATCATTCAGCTTTTCTTCTGTCCTGGCTTGCTAACCATAATCTCCTTATTTACTTATCCCTTTCATATCTCCCCCACATTGTCTGGGGCTTCATCTCTACCTCTCCACACTTTTCCTCCCCTCCTCATTACCCTAACTTTGTCTTTAGCATAAATGCCAACCTCTTCCCAGCTGCTAACAGTTCTGAAAAAAAAGTCACCTAAATCAAAACATTAACTCTGCTTTCTTCTCAAAGATGATGCCAGACCTGCTGGTTTCACCAGCAATTTGTTTTACCTCAGCTGTCCTGCATCTGTGGTTCTTGTGTTTTATTTTTATGCAAACATACTACATTGTATAGTCAAATTTACAGATGGGGCCAAGTACTGTAGACTACTCAGGGAAAATGTGAAGTTATGCACTTTGATAGGCAGACTAGAGGAGCTGATTATTATTTAACTACAGAGAGCCTTTGCACACATTTGGGAGGTCCTTATACATAAATCACAAAAAAAAAAGCCAACATACAAACTCAGTGGGTAATAGGGAAGACACATGGAATGTTGGTCTTTATTTCAAAGGGAATGGTGTATTAAAAAGGAGGTCTTGTTAAAACTATACAAGACACCAGTCACAACACAGCTGGAATAGTGTGAATGGTTTCAATCTCCTCAAGGAGAAGATACACTGGCATCAGAGGCAGTCCAAAGATGGTTCACTTGGTTGATCCCAGGTATGGAGGAAAGGCTGAGTAGATTCAGCCTGTACTCATTAGAGTTTAGAAGAAACATATAAAATTCTTAGGGGTCTGATAGGCTAGGTATGGGAGTGTCTACAACCCAAAGGCATGATTTGAGATAAGGGGTCATACATTTAAGAGAAATCAGGGTGAATTTCTACTGAGTAATTTATGGAATTCTTTACCACCAAGGGCAGAAGAGTTTGGGCCTTTTTAAAGGATATTCAAGGCTAAAATGCATTTGCCATCAATAAGGGAAATCAAAGGCTGAGAGGAAAAGGCAGGAACAGAGTTGAAGATATTGTTGAATGGTAGAGCAGAAACAATGGAACAAACAGGAGCAACTGAGTGTTCCTACATCTTAGAGTTATTTAGACCCTCATGCCCTTTTCCCTCTCACCTTAAACTTATGGATTCCAGTTTTGGACTCCCCTACTCTGGGGTAAAGACCCTGACTACTGTTCACCCTATCCATGCGCCCCATGATTTTATAAACTTCAAGGTCACCCCTCATCTTCCAACTCTCCAGGGAAAAAAGTCCCAGCCTATTCATTGCTCAAACCCTCCAATCCCAGCAACAGCCTTGTAGATCTTTTCTGCACCCTCTCAAGTTTAACAATATCTTTCCTGCAGAAGGGCAATCAAAGTTGTATGCAATATTCTAAGTGACCTCACCTATGACCTATACAGCCACAACGTTACATCCCAACTCCTATACTCAGTGCACTGACCAATGAAGGCAAGCATGCCAAACACCACCTTCACCTATCTACAATATGCTCCAGAGCCCTACCATTAACTGTACAGGACCTGCCCAGATTTGCCTTACCAAAATGCAACACCTCACACTTATTTAAATTAAACTCTATCTGCTACCCCTGAACCCATTGACACATCTGATCAAGCTCATACTCAGAAATAAATCTTCTTCACTGTCCATGATACCATCTATTTTAATGTTATCTGCAAGCTTCCTAACTTTGCCTCTGGTATAAATGATTTGGATATGAATATAAAAGAAGCAGAGAAGTGGACTCAGCATCAATCCTAGTGGCACAGTGCTGGTCACAGGCCTCCGATCTGAAAAGCCACCCTCTACTCTTTTAAAGGAAAGATACTAACAGAAAAGTCTGGGGATTTAAGACCTCCTGCACCTCCTCTTCTTTAATATGATGTGAAGGTGGCTGGTGTTGGACTGGGGTGGACAAGGTCAGTGGTCAGAAGTCAGACAACACCAAGTTATAATCCAACAGGTTTATTTGGAATCGCAAACTTTCAGAGCAACGCTTCTTTGTCAGGTGAAGTGAGAGAAGCACGCAGGCACAGAATTTATAGGCAGAGAGGTCAACGAGCAGAGATATCAAAAGATCACACAAAGTGGAGTCACAACAGGTTGAATAGTAGATCTCTGCAGGTGATCAAGAGTATCAGACAGCAAGAGTAGAATATCAACAGTTGAATAACAAGCAAAGGGATGACCTATAATCCGATTAAATGAGGCAGAGAGATAATTACAAAAAAATTTAAAAATAAGGTAGTACTAGAAACAATCCAAATGACTGGAATACCATGATAGGTATAAGAGTCGCATGCTGAGGTTCTAACTGGAGTAATTAGTAATCCAAAACTGTACAAACTAATTAAGGCAGAGGTCATAAATTATCAAGGTGCTCGGGACAAAACAGGACAGTAAGGAAGATTTTAGAGACAGGAGTGTCGTGGGGTCATACGTAGCGAGACACGAATCCAAGATCACGGTTGAGGCAGTCTTCACAGGTAGGGAAGATGGCCAGTTTCTGCTTGGCGATTGTGTTGTTGTGCATCTCGAAGGCTGCCTTGGAGGGCTCCTATCCAAGATCGGAGGCTTCGGATTGGAGCGTTTCCCCACTGACGCCTCAATCGCTTGCCCTGCCTTATTTACCAAGGGGTTGAGTATTGCTCCTTCTTTAATAAGTAGATTCCATATTGAATAAAGTTTTGTACACACAAATTCCTTCCCATCCAAGTCCTTAATACTGTAAAAGTCCCATGGTTTTTAGTTAATGAGTAACTGGGACTTAGACATACAAGGGCTTTTGAATTGGAAAACTTAGGACAGAGGCTTTTGCATTGGGGAACAATAGTGGTGTTGAGGCACCCAGCAAGGCAAGAGATTCTGGTTAGTGAAGAACTGTGACAATCACACAGCAGTGAAAAGGTCGTGGAGGTAAATGGCATCGAGGTAGACAGTACAGAAAGAGGCTTTGGTTTGGGAGGAGGGTTATGGGGAAGAGAGGCAGTGGTACTGCATAGGGACAGCAGGGACTTGGGAGTTAACGGGACTTAAGTACAGCAGGTAGATGGTTATTTTACCCCCTCAATAAATTAATATGAAAGGTGACATTAACCCACAGAACAGGATAATTCACCATGGGAACAACATGGAATTCATTCGAAGTTAGCCAGGTAATGATCTGCCTGTTCACACCAATATTTTCACTGCTTACATAATTTCATGTGAGCTGTATCTTAGTTAATGACACACTCAGGAGAGTCATAGACTACTTACATTCAAAAGGTACATTTTTGAATGAAATGTTTAAGTGAAGCAGTGCTCCTCAAATGGACCTTGAAGAACAGTGGATTTCACCTATTGTCCTGGCTAATGTTTATCCCTCCTATCATCTTACGTTGTTATTTCTGGTTGCTTACTTTGTGAAAATTGACAGCCAAAGCATTGTATAGCACCGTGGCAATGAAATCAATGAGCAAATTCAAGGTGAGGAATCCTGCAGCAAGTAACTCACTCCCTGACTCCTCAAACCCTGGGCACTGCTCAAAAAAGTGTGATGGAATGCTCCAGTAACACATGAGAAGCTCGACACTATTCAGGAAAAAGCAGTCCACTTGCCTGGCACCACATCCATTGCCTCCACCACCGACACTCAGTAACAGCAAGTGTGTATTATTTACAAGATGCTCTGCAGAAATAGACCAAAAATCTTTAGACAGCACCTTCCAAACCTGAGAAAAACAAGGGTAGCAAATACTTGGGAACACCACCACCTGAAAGTTCTCCTCCCCCCTCCCCACAAGCCACTCATTGTCCTGACTTCAAAATAAAATCACTGTTCCTTCAGTGTCACTGGATCAGAATCCTGGAACTCACTCCCTCATGGCATAGGAGGGCTACTACAGCACATGGACTGCAACGCTTCAGGCAGCAGCTTACCACCACGTTCCAAAGGGCAACTAGGGACAGGCAGTAAACGCTGACCCAGCCAGCAACATGTCCCACGAATGAATTTTTTTTTTTGAAAAGCTGAGATTGTTGTGTAAAATTTCGATGTCTGTATAACACCACTGCAATAGTGATTCACTAGTTTAATAATCAAATTATGGGTATCGGTAAAGCAAATGCAATTTTAAAAAAAAAGTTCAGGAAAAGAACCTTAGAGATTTTTAAAAATAAACTAAGTGGGAAAAAATGATATTTTAGAGACTATGAAGATAACTTGGGTGTTCCTAATGAATAAACCGTTCATAAAGATTGAAATAAAGTAATGAAGACATGAGATTGGCCAC